CATCTTTTTTGACACTTTTAGGTTATACGAAAATGTTAGTTTTAACTCAATACTCTTTTTCTCAATATTTTTTTAATTCAACCCATCGATTGTTATACATCGATTTAAACAGAAAGCTTCAAGCTTCAATTTAAAATAAGTTTTATTTCTTAATTTCAATAAACACGGTTTCCAGGAATTTTTGAATTAGCATCTTTTTTGACACTTAGACTATGCGAAAATAGGGGGATTGCATATTTTGCTAAAATTTTATTCCAAAGGCCTTTACTGAGTGTATTTTGATAGCGTTTTAATTCTGTCTGATTCTGTCACAAAGTTTCAAAATGTTTGACTTCTTGGGACACAAAGCGTTAACTAAGTTTTATTTAAACAGTGGTTCATAATTTATTCATTAATTATTAATTTATTTCATTTTCGGCTTGTGAAAACACCAACAGATTCACAAGACGTTTCGATTTGAGGTTATAATTATAGAGTTACATCCCTTAGAACAACAGACATACTTTTTCGACGTGGCTATTTGAATTGTACAGCAGACATATTAAACTAATGCTATCTCTTTCTAACACACATTACTCTCTAGCGGTTTGTGCCAGCTCTACTGCCAGCTCTCGTGGCGTCTACTATATATGAAATTGCCGGTATGTAGAAACAAAGAACCCATCATCATCTATTGGTGATGCGCTACAACCTCGTGTGGGTTCTGCCTTCTTATAACTTCCTCCTAAATTCATCCTCATTCTATGCAGCTGTCTTACATCCAACTTTTCAGCGTTTTCTGTTATTCCATCTTTCCACCCGAGTTTAGGCCTTCCTTATTTCCACTTTCCTTGCGTTCCATGCAAGAACTTCCTCGGCACATATACATTTGATGACCCATTGCAATCGCATATGTTCCTTTCTAACTCTTCCCTTTAAAAATCGTAACAGATGTAACCTGTTACTTACTCCTACTTTCTCTGAGATGTTATTTTGTATTTTTATGCAGCATCTTACGTTTG